GGTACGGGTTCGGGTCCAACGTTGCGGGTGGATGGGGCGAAGCGACGTTGTCGTCCATGTCGGAGTCTCTGTATGATTGGAGGAGATCCATAGTTAGGGCTTACCTCAATCAGAGAGAAGTAGCACGAGAACAACGGGAAATTGAAAAAAAAAAATAGTTAGGACCAAATAAAAAGCTTTTTGATATGTGTAAATGAGCCGAGTGTAAACGAGCCGAGCCAACCTCGAGCTTAGGGTGCTTGAGCTCGAGCTCGACTTGTTTAACACCTATAATGAGTCGAGTTCGAGCCTATCTCGAGGTTTAACAAGTCGAATTATAGAAAATTATATAATAATTCTCTTTTCGAGGTTTATCGGCTCGGCTCGTTCACCTAACAAGCTTTAAATGAGCTCGAGCTCTAATAAACGAGTCGAGCTGAACTCGAGCCTTAACGAGCCGATCCGAGTCGAGTCAGACTCGTTTAATTTAAAATCACTATCGGTACACATATTTTAACTTGATCAATTTTCAGACTCAATGTTTTGCCCGTCATTAACTTTAAGTCCAAACGTCCAACACTAACGACACTGTAACCAACAAAAAATTAATTAATACAAAATATAAATTACGTAACAATAATTTTTATGAAAATATAAAATTTTTGTACAATTTGATTTATTTTGATCAAACCATATTGCGGGTACGTCACGTTTTGGTCTTTATACTGCGTAGCGTAAAAAGCGTTGCGTGTAGCGTAAGCTATTTAGATATAATTTTTTTTTATAGAAATATTATAAATATATTTGCATATAATAAAAATGGATGGTTGATTACAAAAATTATCATAGTATTTGAATGACTTCAAAAATAACATCTAAAGATTATTTCTCACAAATGTTTAATGTAAATATCATAATATAAATATTTAAATTATAAATCGAATATACTAAAAAGTAAAAACAAACAACGAAAATATAATGAGGCAAGTCATAGTCTAATTTTAAGTATATGCATTTTAATTATTATTTTTTTATTTAAGTACAACTTAATTCTAACCATTAGATATGAACTTTTTATTTTTTATTTAAATGTCAAATATTGAAAAATGAAATGATATAGCAAAAATGGGCTGATAAATATTGCACTATTCAACTTAGGACTTTGTATTTTCAAACTTTTTAGTTTTTAGTTATCATTTGTAAATAAGACTCTGATCCCTAAAAAATACGAGTTTTTGAATATTTTATTGTTCAAATGTGGTTGTATAAATATAGCGCGATGTAGCGCACAATAGCGTGAAATAGCGCAAAATAGCGTAAGAAAGCGTGTCATTTCAACATTTAGCGTAAGCTTTTCGGGAAAAACGCTAAATATATGAGGCTACGTCGCGTTTTTCTGAAAAAAAAAACTATATAGCGAGCTATTTAAAATAATGGTCTCATCTGATTCTTCTCTTCGCGAACTTGGATTTGGGTCTTCGATTCTCGATTTGTCGGTTGAATTTCCTTCATGCTTGAGCTTGAATTTGTCTAACATTAATTGGGGAGTCGAATGTCTTGATCCCAAATTAAACGGTTTGAACTTGATTTAATTGGAGGAAACTTATTGGAGGAACTTATTATTCGATCTTTCTAAAAGATGGATTTAGACTTGAATAAAGTTGATTTGAGGGCTTGAGAGCTTTTTCCCGGATCAAACGCTATGTTTCTTATATTTTGGTTTGATATTTATTATATTTCAGTTTGTTGAATTATTTTTAAGTGTGTTATTGGTATGATATTATGAATCGTGACCTGTTTGTTTACATGTACGACACCTCCGCGGTTTGATCATCACCGCTCCGAGTGAATGAGCCAGTGTCTGCTTTTTAGTAATGCTTGAACACGAGAAACCACTTCAGAACGCATTTACTAGCCATTAAAGTTTAACTTTTATAAGAGAACAATAAGAGCCAAATAAGTTCAACAAGAAGAATAGAAAAAAAAAANATCTGGGGCCTTGAAAATCTTGAACAAAAAAGAAGTGCAGTAGAATTAAAACAAAAAGAAACAAAAAATTAAATGGTATTAAATGCAGGAAGGAAAGAGATGAAATAAAATGCAAACTAAAAAAGATGAAACAACGACCCTTAAGATTTATGACAAAACAATCCACATCTCGTCTAGTATTACGTGATAATGTGATAAAAATACGCATACTTGTTACTTATTCAGTGTTATAGATTTTTGATATGCGAGTCGTAAACTATGCAATAATATGTCACATAATTGTAACTTATGCATCGTTCGATTTTGGTTATGCAATAACTAAAGTTGCGAATGTTTTTCATATTTGGTGTGTACGTATTGTATGCGATTACAAAATATCATTTACTGTTATTTATTTTTTTTTCATTATGTTACGCGAAAACTATGCGAGATATCACAGTTGTTTCGCAGTTTTGCGAAGTTCCTTTCAATCAAACTTTTTTCGCTTCGAACATTGTCGCTGATTTTTCATTACCATGCACAATATTGTTGTGACACATACTTGATCGTCACTGGCATCATTAGTTCCATCATCGTTTGTCTTCCCCCCAGATTGGGTCGTCAATTGAAGCACCAGGCCCGCCCTTCAAGTCGATCGCCGCTGTGTTGCACTCGGTAAAAACTAATATGTGTAGTGTATTATTAAAAAAAATATATAATATGTGTATGGATATTCATATTAATGATTTAAATATTCATTTTATTAAAAAGCTAATAGACGTAGTATATTGTTAAAATAAATTATATAATATGTGTATGGATATTCATATTAAACGGATATACTTAATATTTGCACAATATTGTTTTATTTAATATTATCTTTTGATTAAAAAATAGTAAATATGTAAACAAAATATTTTGTGCAATCTAACAGTTATTAAGGTGCAATTCGTCCAGCATTATGATGCACGGTGTCGGTCTGTATTGTGCATATTGAACCAAACGAACTTTTTCCTATAACAAATTGAAACTAAATATAATTAATTGGTTTACTCGGTTCAGTTAACTGAATTATCCTAAATAAACGAAATATTATTTTTATTATTAAGATTATATTTAATATGTTAATAATTTAATTTATTACTTTTATATTTTTGTGATTGAAAAAAAATGAGTTCGGTCGGTTTTCCTTTCTAATTTTCAATCTGATAGTCGTGATAAAGTACAACGCTTTGTTTTATAAAGTGCAACGTGACGTTATATAAAATGCATTGTGTTAATATATAAAGGAAACTATTGTAATTTAGGTACTTTAGCAGGGGCGGACGGACATATATTATAGGGGGGCCACGGTCCCCCCCAAACTTTTGTGTTTTTTCACCTAAGTATATATCTATTATATTAGATTAAGTATATTTATTCATTGTTGTCCCCCCTAACCAACTAATGATTTATTTATTTTGATCAGGTGGGCTAAGACAAGTCAAGCCCATTAGAGATATATTTAAAAAAGCCTATAAAGCCAACTCCACCTTTTATATTATATTATATTATTTATTTATTAGTGAACAAACTATTTTAATTAACTTAAATAATAGCGTCATCTTGTGTATTCTCCTTTTGGGGTGTATTCTCCACAAGTGGGAGTTTTTTTAGTTTCTTTTAGTTTCTTTGTGTTAGTTTGTGGTATTTAGGCTACCTTGAGTAGACCTCCCTTTTTCGACTACTTAGTCGGTTGTAATTACGTGTTTGCGTTTAATGAATCTATTGTTTCAAAAAA